AAAAAAAAAATTAGATATTACAAAGGGTATAAAATTCAATTTCCCCCTTAGTCCAGAAGCCCTAGCTTCTTCCCCGAGGATGCCACTGAAAACTTTTTTCCAAATTGTTTTATTTTCCCAAATATTTTTTGTATATCTCTGCAAACACATATAAGTATATATGCAAACATAGTTTTTATACAAATGGGAGCATCTTGTGGCAATGCTCTGCTTTTAGTATACCTTAGTGACCTTCTCATATCCAAACATGTAGATTTACCACATTCTTTTTAGAACTGGATATTATTTCATTGAACGGATATACTACAATTTAATCAGCCTGCCTTTAATTGAAGAACATTTAGGTTATTTCTAATACTTTGCTATTAAAAGAGTGATGCGGTAAACATTCTCATACCTGTGTCTGTACACATGATGAAGTACACCTGGGAGACAGACTGCTAGAAGTGAAATCACCACCTACCACTTGCCTTTGAGTCTATTCTGATTCATAGCAACCCCTGTGTGTCAGAGTAGAACTGTGCTCCATAATGTTTCAGCAGCTGATTTTTCAGAAGGAGATTGCCAGGCCTTTCTTCAAGGCACCCCTGCATGAATTCAAACCTCCGACTTTTTGTTTTTATTTTTAAATTGGCTTATTATTGATCTTTTGTTCTTGAGTTTTAGAAATTATTTTTTACATATTCTGGATCTTATACCCTTATCAGATATATGACTTGCAAATATTTTCTCCTATTTTACAGGTTATCTTTTTACTTTCTTGATAATGTGTTTTCTTTTAGAACAATTTTATTTTTTAAGGATGTTTTTAACCTTTTATATTGTTTTAAAACTGTATACAACACACCAGTTGTCAATTCAACATCTTCACATATATAATTCAGTGAACCAGGTATATCAATCTTGTTGTGGATTGTCACCATTTTCCATTGCCAAATTTTCCATGACTATAAACAGAAACACAATGCTTCCTTAACAATGATGGACAGAATTGGTAATTTAAATGTAAGCCAATTTTTCTATTTTTCCTTTTGCTGTTTGTGCTTGTTCCATCACATGTAAATATCCCTTGCCAAATCCTTATAGTTTCTTCTAAGAATATTACAACTTTAGTTGTTATATATCCAATGTTCATGGATCATTTTCAGTTATTTTTGTATGGTGTGAGTAGAAGTCAAACTTCATTCATGAATATGGAAATCCAGTTATCTATACCATTTATAAGAAGAGTTAAAAAGATTTCTTTCTCCATTGAATGGATTTGGCATCCTTGTTAAAAATGCATTGACCATATATGAGTGGGTTTATTTGTAGAGTTTCAATATCCATCCCATTATTCTGTATGTATATTCTAGGTCAATACCACACACATTGAACATCCAACCTTTTCACTAATAGTTGAATAGTTAATTGTTTGTACCACCCAGGAACTCCAGAAGTGAAATTACTTGGTCAAGAGGTCAATGGTTTTTCATTTTGATATATAATGACAAATTTTCCTCTCAAAATAATCGTCTATCCACATTAGATGATATGAGTTTAGTTTTTGGGGTTTTTTTTAGTATTTAAATAGCCAACTGTCTATAATTAAAGGCTTAATTTTGAAAGTATCTTCTATATAGAAAGTATCAAAGATGAGAGAGGAGTCACTGGTTTCTCAAGATTAAAGGGTTATCCTGATGAAAACACTTTGAAAGAAAGGGTTTACTGTATGCATATTAAGAAGGGCGAAGATGGGGGAAGAGAAAGGGACAAGGAAACAGTATTATAGGTGACAAATGGGGTAGAAAAAGAAATCTGAGAAATAGTCGGGTGCAGATATAAATTACTGAAATGTTAGACCATAGAAACAATTCCAAAAAAATTGAGGGGGGGAATTAAAGGATTAGTAGAGATGGTAAGGGGACCCTGGGTAGTGCAAACAGTTAACATACTAAGCTACTAACCAAAAGACTGGAGGTTCAAATCGACCCAGGAGGACTTTGCAAGAAAGGCCTGGTCATCTAATTCCACAAAATCAGCCACTAAAAACCCTATGGAGCACGTTCTACTTGACACACATGATGTCTCCATAAGTCAAATCAACCAGATGGCAGCAGGTGTTAGAGATGGTAAATCTGTTACCAGGCCCACCATATACACCCCACAAATCTAGGGGGCAGCATTCACACAGGAGATACCTCAGTGTCCACCTTGTGTGAACTTCAGAGGGATTTTGATCATTATTCCTGTAAAATGAGCAGTTCAAAATATTTAGGCCAACACACTGCCCATGTTTCTGGAAGAAAGTGTGCTATGTTGAAAGGAAACTAAAATCTACTCCTTTAAATCTTTAGAACACCCCTTCATGCGGCAGCCTTTGCTGATCACGTGGAGTGCTTGCAGCTTCTTTTGAGACACAATGCTCAAGTGAACGCAGTAGACAATTCAGGGAAAACAGCACTGATGATGGCTGCTGAGAACGGGCAGGCAGGCGCTGTGGGTAGGTACTTGCAGTGTGGACTTTGCATTCTTGCTTACTCAAAAGTCAAATTGACATAAAATCGAGACACCAGTTGTTCTCTTGGTATAAAACCTGAAATGCCATCAAGTCAGTTCTGACTCATAATGAGCCTGTAGGACAAAGGAGAACTGCCCCATAGCGTTTTCAAAGCTGGAAATCATTACAGGATCAGACTGCTGCTGCTTTATTCCACAGAGCTGCTGGTGGGTTCAAACCATCAACTTTCAGTTATCAGCCAAGAGTTTAACCAATGCACCACCATGGCACCTTCTTTTGGTGAAAAGAAGATGAAAGGGGCCACTAATAGTTTGACTTAAGCCACATGACTCTACATCCTCAATTATCTTCAGTCTCCTGTTAGTTGCTTATTGGTGGGCCTTGTAAAAATGACCCAACTTTCCTGCAGTGAAAATTTCTCACTGTTTAAAAACCAAATACAATGAAGAATCATCTTAACTGAATATAATGAAACTGTAAAGACAAAACTAATACCCTCAACCTTTATTTGGATGAAACAATGAAATGTGATATATGTGAACTGTGCTAATTTAAATATATTGTTCTCGTAGTAACTTCTTCAAAATGCATGTGATTACCATCTGTTGTAAGTAATCCTCTTTTGGCTTTTCCTATAGATATTTTGGTGAACAGTGCCCAGGCTGACCTGACTGTACAGGATAAGGACTTGAATACACCCTTACATTTGGCTAGTAGTAAAGTATGTAAGGAATTTAAAACACTCTTACTTGATATTATAATAATGATACCTCTTGAAAATCCGTTTATCTTAGAAGTGTGGATTGTAGCTCTTAAGGTATAGGTTTCTCAGGATGTTGTCAACTATAAGGAGAATAAGGAAAGGGCAGACCCACCCAAGTGTTAGTGAGGATGTGCTTTTTATGGCATTTGTCTTGTGAAATCTTTGCTCCAGTCTAGCTCCTTTGAAGCTGCCATCATATCTATGTCCACGACTGTGGTACCACAAGTCTAGTTAAAACTTTAGTTATATGGCTTCTAAAGTATAAAAGTTAATGAGGGTTTAATTAGGATTTGTTTTTATGGGATTTGCCTTATGAAACCTTTGTTGCAGTCCATCTGTCTTGATGTTGCCATTGTATCTATTTCTTTGGGTACTACATTTTGGTTTTAAAAACAGGTTAGGACCTTAGTAATATGGCTTCTAAAATATAAACGGTCCCACTTGTTTTTATTTGTTCCATTTGAAGACATAATAATAGCACAGCCAAAATCATTTGACTCTAAGGCAAATGAATGTCTCCATGTGTATTTCTACCCTCCAGCTTTCTTTCTGGTACACAGCCTGTGTGTGTTTGTTTGTTTTATAGCATTGTGTTGACATGTAGCTCAAGGTTCCTGCTACCATAAAATATGTATATATATTTTTTCATTGCTATCAAGTCAATTTCAACTCCTAGTAGCCCCCATTGGACTTCCAAAGCTATAAATCTTTACAGAAGAAGACCACCTCATTTTTCTTTTGTGGAGCAACTAGTGGGTTTGAACCACCAACCTTTTCGTTAGCAGCCAAATGCCTTAACCTCTATACCACCAGAGCTCCATATACACATAAACAGGATTTTACAAAAATGAAGTCATACTGTTTTCTAAAAACCTGCTTTTGTTACTAAATGATGTATCATGGATATCCTTCTTGAAGACATACATAATGGTGTTTTGGAAGATGTATGGTATTCCCCTTTAGGAATATCTCATCATTTATGCACTCATTCCTTATTGTTAAACATATAGCTTGCTTTCAAAGATAATAAATAATACTTTAGATAATTTTTTCAGGAAGCCTTAATCATTCCCTAGTTCCTAGACATGAAATTATTGAGTCTAAGGATATGAACATTTTTTAAAACTAAGTTGCCCTCTTTTAAGGTTACAACAATTTATATTCCCCCAGCAGCACATCAGAAGGAAACTTCCATGACATCTCTAAAATTATGTTTAAGAGCAGCATTACAGTATGATGCATCAGTGATAGTGGTTTATTTTAATTTAGTTATAATGTGAAAGGGGTTATATATACCCACTGTTAGCAAAAGTCTTGGCCATTCCTTTCACTAGTTGCATTTTCTCACTTCATGCTTTGAGTAGTTTTAGTGAATCTGTCTGAGTGCATTGCTTTTCAGATTTTATTGTGCAAAGAAATCACCTAGGGATCTTGTTAAAATACAGCTTCTAATTTAGTAAGTCTGGGGGAGAGGCTGAGATTTTGCATTTCTAAAAAGCTCCAGCAGGATGCTGATAGTGTTGGTCTGTGAACCACTGTTAAGTAGCCAGGATTTAGCCATAATCCCTTAATAGGACACTAGGCTTGAAATCATGAAAGGGCTCTGGCTTATCAATGGATTTCTAAAAATACATCAACCATCTTAAGTCTGTCAATAGAGTGGTATCATCCTGGTTGGGGAAGTAAAGAAAGTGCTTTCCTGAAATAGGGTTTCTAACAGTATAAGGGAGCTCTGGTAGCATAGTGGCTAAAGCACTTGACTGGTAACCAGAAGGCTGACGGTTCAAACCCACCAGCCACTCCTCGGAAGGAAGGTTGGGCAATCCTACTTCCGTAGTGATACTGCCTCGGAAACTCAAGGAGGGGTCGCTATGAGTCGGAGCCGACTGGACGGCACATAACAACAACAACAGTATAAGGCAGTAAATAATGATGAGTGATATAGATAATAAGTGTAATAGGAATTCCAAAGGAAGATAGATCACTGATGTGGTAATGAAAGGCTTGGGGAAGAAGGCAGGATTTATTTATGTTTAAAAGGTAATGTTGAAAGATTTAGAGTATTCTCTTAATTCTAGCCTTTCTTAACCAGCTGAACTAGCATCTGCTCAGTGACATTCGTGCTAAAAGTTATTTTAGAAATAATATTTTAGATAAGACCAAGTCCTAATAGAGGTTAATCATTAACTCTTAATCAGAATCTTAGCATTTCTGGGGCCCTTTAACCATTTGATTTCTAGAAGAAAAGAATTACTCAGAAAAATTGTCTCATAGAATGTTTTTAGGCAGAGGTAATTAATTCTCAATTTGAAGCATAAGGGAGTAATTTTTTCAGGAACTTGTCTGTGTCTTATCATTCTTTTTCTTTATTAGGGTCATGAAAAATGTGCCTTGTTAATACTTGACAAGATCCAAGACGAGAGCCTTATTAATGCAAAGAATAATGCACTGCAGACGTAAGTGTCAGTGTCTAAAGTTTGACGCAGACCCATATTCACGGTCACCTATTCAACAAATATTAAGAGCCTGCTATGTCCCAAGCTAGTGCTGGGGAGCATAGTGGGAAAAAACACAGACCTGGCTTTCCTTTCGTGAACTTTACCCTACATGCTGACCAAGATAGCCATTTTGAGTCATAATCCTTGTTTTGATATGCCTCCATATAATTTTGCAAAGTCTGTGTTTTCCTTTGCTGAGATTTCTGTAATGGTAATATAAATGTAGTGGGCCATTAGAAAATCTTATGGGCTGACATATTTGAGGAACCTATCTGATTATTAGTATTATGTCTTCTTACTGGAAAATGGCAGTTTTATAAATTGAGTTCCCTCAATAGAGTTGAAAAGTTTCTAAGCTATTTCTCTTAATTACATTTTAATATAATTCAGTGCCACTCTCAATGTGAAAGACCTAAAAGCTGCTTCATTTTCCATTTTAAGAAATTATTTATGTATTTGTTTTAAGGCCAAAGAAACACTGGCTTTTTTTCCCCTGCTTAAAATTCTTAAGCTGTGTATAGCAGAGTATGCTAAATTTGACATTATTCTTGAAGGTTTTATAAATTTGGTAAAACATTTGTGTGCATTTAGTAATAACAGAGTTTTGAGATGATTTATCTAAATGATGTTTTGTTTTTACTTTTTATTATAGTTTGGGTGAAAGTTTATAGAGCAAATTAGTTTTCCATGCAACAATTTATGCACATTTTGTTGCATTACATTGGTTGCAATCCCCTTAATGTAACTTCTCTTAAGGGTCCCCATTTCTGTCCTTCTTTCCTGCCCTTCTTGCTTTCTGAGCTTCGTTTTTGGGCAAATGTTGTCCTCTGGTTCATGTATTGAGGAGTACATCCCTTGCTTGGTGTTATTATTCATTGTATAGGCCTATTTTCTGTCTGAAAGTTGATCCCCAGGGGCGGGCTCTGATCCAAGCTTGAAGGATGTCTAAGGTTCACTTTTTCAGGGTTTCTACCAGTCTCTATCAGACCAGTAAGTCTGGTATTTATGATTTTGAATTTTGTTCTACATTTCTGTGTGTGTGTGTGTGTGTGTGTGTATGTCTGTCTCTGTCTCTCTCCCCCTCTTTATCTAGGACCGTCTACTCTATTCCTGATCAGAGTGGTTGGTGGTGATAGCCAGGTACCATCTAGCATTGCTGGTCTCAGGATAGTAGAGGCTGTGATTCACATAGTCCATTAGTCCTTTGGACTAATTGTTTCCTTGAGTCTTTGATTTTCTTTACTCTTCTTCGCTCGAGATGGGGAGAGACCAATAGTTGTGTCTTAGATGGCTGCTCACAGCTTTTACAAACCCAGTTACTACTGACCAAACTAAGATGTAAAACGTTGTCATTGTGGACTACGTTATGCCAATTGACCTAGATGTCCCAAGACGGTGATCCTAAGCCCCCAAGCTCAGTGTCTCATTCCCTCAAGGCATTTGGTTATGTCCAAGAAGTTTTCAGAACATTGCTCCCTGCGTGCTGTTATGGAAGTGATACTGATGCAACACATAACTTGTGTGAAACAATGATTCCAATGCCATGTTGTTTTTGTTGTTGTTGTTATGTGCCGTCGAGTCGGCCCCGACTCATAGCGACCCCTCCTTGGGTTTCCGAGGCAGTATCACTACGGAAGTAGGATTGCCCAACCTTCCTTCCGAGGAGTGGCTGGTGGGTTTGAACCGCCAGCCGTCTGGCCATAGTAGAAATAAATCATGAGAGAAAAGAACTTTCTACAAAACACACCTGACCTTGAATTCTTCCTCTGTCTTCATATCTGCAATCATTGAAGTTGTCTGAGATGCAAGTTATTTATAAAACCTTTAGAGAAATCTGGGCCAACCTGGAAGGACAGTTGGATCATTATCACCTGGAAAAGATCCGGTCCACAAATGTCTTTTTCTTTTTTTCTTTTTTTTAAATGAAAATATTTGAGTGCTATTTATACATTCTTGTCCTTTTTCTTTAAATGATGTGAGTTAACAAAAGTACACATTCTCACGCAAATATGTATCACAGTTGAAGCTTTGTGTTATGTTTTATAGACCTCTCCACGTTGCTGCACGCAATGGCTTGAAGATGGTAGTTGAGGAGTTGCTAGCCAAAGGGGCCTGTGTACTTGCTGTAGATGAAAATGGTAAGAAAATAACCAGTTACTACAGATACTTTCCATGTACTGGCTGAAGCCAGAATAAGTGAGAAAAATAGGAGCTAGTTAAAAAAGTAAGAATTGTCTCCCCTTTGGAAGCTCCACATGTGTGAAAAATCAAACAAGGATAATTTGTTCCTGTCTGTTTGTAAAACACATAGTCCACCTGTAGTCCCCAGTGCTGTCCATTTTGCATGTAATGTCAACAGCTGGTCTCTAACTCCTCAGAGTGGTAGTTAAAATGATTAAGATACACTAAAAATCTTTGGCATTTGAAATTCTAACTGCATACACTGACGAGTTAGGGATTACACATGTCATTAGTGCATGCCCTAGGGCTCAAATAAAAACCTTGCCCTGATTTTATTTCAGTTCATTCTGAGATCAAATCTATTATTATTATTATTTTAATGAATAGATCAGAACTCATGTTCCCAGTATGGAAATTTTGGAAACCTGAGTAAAATTTCTTAATTAACGTCTAGGCTCGAAAGCTTCTCCTCATCTACATAATGTTACTTTTCTAAATGAACTAACTCTTAGCAGAAGCTTTCTACTCTGCTCCCTAAGAAAAGCTAACGAATACTGGAATTGTATTAAACTACGTTACAAGCACAAGGCCATTAACCTTGGGGAGCAAAAGAGGAAGTTCTGGATATTTATAAGTCATTTTTTAAAATGTGGCATTTATGTGTCATTTAATTAAAGCATTATAATAAAAAGTATTAATGTAACTCAATTAACTGCTTATTACAGGTATTGGAATTAGCAGCTCGTTCCCATTTCTCAGAAGTAAGCAGCCATATTGACATCATTAGCTAACTCTTACTAGTTTTGGTTTTGCAGCCCCGTTTGTCCTAGCATGCACCCTGCTCTATCCCCAACCTGACTCATCTAGGATGAGCAGAAAGTTCTCTACTATTCCATTTCCTTGGTTTTCCCACCTCACATTCCCTCACTCTCTTATCATCACAATATACCTTAGGGTTGGCATGCAGGAACCCACAATTTTCTCCAAAGTAACCAAAGAAATTAGAATAAATAAGTATTGTTCTTCACAGATATAAATGTGCTGTATTTAGAGGTTTGTCCAACCTATAGCAACCTTAGGAACTAGAACCCTGGGCCAGTGATAATGTTACTCAAAAGCCTGGTCTGGTGCATAGTGCCTAAGGCATTTGACTGCTAACCAGAAGGCTGGTGGTTCAAACCCACCAGCTACTCCTCAGAAGGAAGGTTGGGCAATCTACTTCTATAGTGATACCACCTCAGAAACCCAAGAAAGGGTCACTGTGAGTCGAAATCGACTTGATGGCAGTGAGTATTTGGTGTTGAACTTAGAATCATAAATCCTACTATCATCACACAACTTTGTGGAATGCCATGTTAAGATACTTCCTGTCCCTTCTTTGTTTTCATACCAGAAAAAAGAATGATCTCTTAACTGGATTAAAAGCAAAAATCATATCAAATGCTGACAAAGAAAACATTTCATTTTATTAAGCTTCCTTCTCCAAATGATTAAGTGGCTCGTTGTAGGCAGGAAGACAGGACCAAAAGAAAAAGAATTAATCCACCTCCTGATGACGGCACCTGATTTATATGTTGAGGCAGTTCTTTTGTGGGAACTGGACCCATCAGATCTAAATGTTGGGAACCTACTTATGGCAAGTGTAACAATTTCCCCAAATACGTTGCATTTAGGATTTGGAGGCTTTTATTGGTGATGTGGCTGTTTTTTTAAAAAAGAAATTCTATTAAATGATAGTACATTTTGAATCACAGGAAACTAGTACCTTCCTATGTCTGATCTACTCAAATGATTCCATTTTTCTAAAACAAGTTAATTGACAAATACTTTATGTGGAGATAGGTAGCTAGATAGCTGCCAGTGAGTTAACTCCAACTTATGGTAACCTTCTGACAACAGAGTGAAACATGAGCTATACACAAGGTCCTGTGTCATCCTCACAATTGCTGGCAATACTTTATATAAAGTATACATAAAGTGATAAAAGTGCATTTGTCACTTTTACAGACATGTAACTTGCAGTATCTTTTCTAATCTGACAGTAATCACCTACAATTGAAAGTCATTGTTCTCAGAATGAGAGTCCTATTCTGGCCCACGCCTGAGGCTCATGGTGTGTGTGTGTGTGTGTGTGTGTGTGCGCGCGCGCGCGTGCGCATGCATGCACACGCTCTCTAAAGTGGAAACACCCTCCTGGTCATCCTGTTGCTGTTTTTGTGGAATTGTGTCCCACCCCTGCCCCCTCATGTGTCTATTCACTAGTTGAAGGCTGGGATTCTGGCTAACTTGAGATAATAATAGTGCTTGTTGTAGTCACGTGAGCTGAAAAAGAAAACCCTCCCTAAAATGTCTCCTCCACCTGTCTAGCCTTACCCCTAGCATGACTCATACAAAGTAACAACTCTTTTTGCCTGGCATGATTTTAACTCAACATACATCTCCCCTGTGAGGTCATATGAGATGTACTGTGGAATGCTCACACTTCCTTTGGATGCCCTGTACTAACCACTGCCTTGTCTGCATTTATGCCCAGGTCATACCCCGGCCCTGGCTTGTGCTCCTAACAAAGACGTGGCTGACTGCCTGGCCCTCATTTTGGCTACCATGATGCCTTTTTCTCCTTCCAGTACAATGACAGCTGTCAACTTCGTTTGTTTTAAAAAAGACAATTTGAGCAGGACAACCCTCTCCAATCTGGGTAGCATGGTTAGCCTATGTAGTAACAACATAGGTTCCGAGGATGGGTACAATGAAAATGATTCAGATTCAGAAACGTTTTAACTTTGGACTATAGAAGCTTTTCCTTGATATCACCCATGTTGGAGGAAAGGAAAGAAGCTTGAATTCCAAGATTATGTTGTATTCAAGTATTATTGTGGGCCCGAGCTTCCAGAAGCCAGTAAAGAAGGTATTAAACCAAGAGAGGGCAGCTAGCTATTCTGTAAGGTGAAGCAGTCACACAGATGGGCCTTGATTTTGCTTTTTTCATGTTTTCCTTAGATCTGAGTTACTTCTGTGAAAGTCTACCTCTCATTTTAAGTAAGGATTAAAAAAATGCATTTAATTCTTTTTTTCTTTGAGGATAATGCAACAGAGAGGGAGCTATTCTCTATAAAGGCTTCTTGCCCGCCCGCCCCCCCACCATGTACTCACTCAGCAGTGAGTTCTCAGAAGTATATCAGTGTGACATCCATGTCCCCTGAGCGGGGAAGGAAGGGGTGGATAGGAAATGCCTCAAACCTCTCCTCACTTTGATGTTTACTTCTTCACTAGAAGCCAAAGGTAAAGGTGTTCTTCTTCAGAAATAATGCCTGTAATAATCTTTTTAAGGGAGTCCAGCTATTCATATTCTCTCCATAGTAAGCACTTAAATATCCAGAACGTTCTTTCTGAGGATGAATTTAAAAATTGAACTTGCTTTGCTATTTTTTTTCCAACACACATATGGCACTCATTGCTCCCCATTTACAAGCTTGTGAGTAATTTTCCCCAAGTGATTGAATCCAAATCTATCTAATAACATTTTAGGTGAAAATCATATTGCACCAAAACTTTGAGAAGTATGCAGATTTAAAATGGAGCTACCTTTATAAATTCATCCTTCAATAAAAATACTAACTTTCTGAATACATCAGAACTATCAGCCTTTTTCATCAAATGTATGATGAAACATTTCATATAGGATGAAACATAGTGATATGTTGATTGAGATTCTTAGTCGAGGTCATGCCAAATGAGTGAGAGAGGAACTGCAAAAGGGAACAAAGAAAGTACAAGCAAGAAATAGAAATGGGTGAAATGGAAATTAAAGCCAATTGCCAACTGTTTGATGATGAAATCAACATAGTGAATACTGTGTCTGCTCCCTCTGCCAAAGCTTCTAGGTCAAATGGACCCCGTTCCGCCCTTGGAACAGCTGTACAAAAAGAAGAATGAGACTCTTTAAAAATCATGCACACACATGCACACATATGTGTGTGTGTGTGTGTGTATATATATATATATATATATATATATATATATATATGTATTTCATCAACCAGCTATACATGAGGACCAAAATGCTTCAGTTGAAAATGGAAGATTTAAAACTTTTTTCTTCAAAATGGAAGTGAGAAATGAAGTAACTTTTCTATGGAGCTAAAATGTAATCTTTTTGTGTAACAGTCTTTGTTGTATTTTATATTTCTTATGACACAGATTTCTAGTTGATGGTTGAACATTTGTAACTGATGATGTGTTGACTACGGTTTATTTTTTTTGCCAAACTAGAAAAATGCTCATATACTTTTGATGTAAATGTGTTTATATTTATTTGAAATGAAACAAATGCCGAGGAAACGTATCCACTGTTTGTTCTCTGTTTTAATTGCTATGTGTTTTATTTGGAATAACAACAACAACAACAAAAAAGCGGAAAAACACACACAACCCTGGGCTAGCTGGAAGTCCTGTGTAAGCCCGGCATGTCCACTGCTAAGGTTTCCAGCTGATCCTGACCACTGACTCGCCAGCTGGGAAGGGATATAAGATCAAGATCTGCATCCCGCCGCTCACCCCCAGCCTGCAGCTAGCTTAGAGCAGACAAGGCCTCGCAGTCTGTGTGCTCTTCGCCAGGATGAAAGCTGAAGTGTATGGAGGAACATATGTGCAATGGTGGCCCAAAGAAACATACAGAAATTTTCCTGAATACATGGAAAAAATTTCACATGGTCCCAATATCCTAATGGGAAACAGTGTCAGTGGGCTGGCATGTGTGCCGAGAGGAGAAATAAAAATCACCAGCTCAAGTGCTCTCTTCCACTTGAGGAAGAAGCAGGAAAGAAACATGTTGTATTAGGGCAGTATGCCCCATATTTTATAACCAGCTCCATTTTGACCCTGGAAATTTCTATTTTATAGTGTACATGAGATATTTTCTAAAACAGTGTTCTAGAATATCTGGATCAAATACAGATGCTGTGTTATATTTTCATCTAACTGTAAAAGACTTTAATCTTTTTTAATATCCTGAATTAAAAAAAAAAAAAAAAAACTTGTTCAAAGGACTTACAGAATTGGTATCAATTTCACTGAAAATTTTCAAAACAACCAACATTGTGTTTTGAATTCTTGGTGTGTTCACCTCCTTTCTCTTGTCCTTTTTGTTTTAGAGATTTTTTTTTTTTTTTTCAAAGATAAATTGCTTGTGAGCAATAATGACTTTGCCTTTACCAACACACTGAAAATGAGGAAGCTCCAATGTTGAAGAAGCATGATATACTGTGGTGTCTTTTTCTAGAAGTGAATGGAAATCTTGCTTATTTGGTGTTTAAGGCAGGAAATGAGATGCCTACTTTAATGGTGAAGCAGCATCCACGTTTTTCTGTAGTGTAGCAGAGTAAGGAACATTGCAGCAACAGATCATGTGGTATTATTTCCACCAAGCTGCATTTTGACTTTTCCCCACTTACTGATAGGAGGACAAAGGAACAAAATGAAACCATATATCCAATGAACTGTTTGTTCATTGAATCTCTCTCTGTCTTGTCTTCTCTCTTTCCCCAAAGACCAAGGTTTTTTTTCTTTTCCTTGAGTAAATGAATTAACTATAATTTCTGTGTTCTTCAAGTATGTCTTAAAAATAAAATTATGTTTGCATATAGCTTTCTAAGGTTAAAAAAAAAACTGAAAACATTGTATTCGTGAGGCTTAGTTGTTTAATGCTTTTACTTAAGCATTGTTTTTAGCCTGTATTTTAACTACAACCATGGGATTCACGTTTCATTGCACTTACCTGTTCACCAATGTCTTTGGTAAGTACATTCTAATCTCCAAATTGCCTAAAATCTGCTATGATTCTATAGTAAATAGCTCAGGGGATTTCTATCTGTCACTACTAAAAGGGCACCGTAGTATGTTTTGGTACTTTAGGCAGTAAACAGCTGCTTGATTTATTCTTTTATTGTTATATTAGAACATATATGGATTTGCTGCACTAGTTTTTCTTTGTACTGTTGAGCAACTTGGTTTGCTTCTCTGTTGCATTGGTTGAAGAACTCACCCCACTTTTGTCTTGTAATATGAAGTTAGAGTGCCTTTTTTATATTTGTATATTCTGAAAATGTTCTGTGAAATGTTTTGTACTTTTTTCATTGAGTGTTATGAGAGCAATATAATACTTATGAGTTTTCATTTCAGATTTTCTTTGAATGTATAAAATGTCTTTTTTCCTCTTTCCCCCTTTGACTTGCTTTGAATTGGAAATGGATGTGCTAACATTGCTAACGTTTTCTATAGGAAATATGTTTGATTTTGCAGTGCTGAAATGCTTTCTTCTTACAAAACTGTAAACCATAGATCAGTGTTATAGGGGAAAAGCGTTTTGAGATAGTGACAATCTGAGTGTACGTATAAAACGTAATTCTATGTGTTTCTTATGCAGTGATCTAAAATTTCAATGCAAATATCTTTTGTTTGGTAGTTTTGTCTACATATGTTATGCTTTAGCATGTGCAATATATCTTTGCAAAGCACGATGATACAAATCTGGTGCCAGTGTTATATTTTGCATAACATATTTGTAACAGCATAAAATATTGTTTGATGATTTCAGTGGGATTTTGTCTGTAATGTTTTCTTATGTAAATTGAAGTTGAATGATGCTGGTAAATGTCATGACTGTAAAATGAGGAAAATGACTTTTAGTTTAGTGAATGACTTTGAACCAATCTGAATCTTCTCAAGCACAGTTTAATACTTTTGCAACTACTGAATGCTCTAATAACGTAATGAAGTACTTAACTGTAATATACTATGGAAATGCATTCAGATGGTTATTTTTACAAATAAAAACGGTACAAATATTGTTGTAATTTGTGGGCTTTTTTATTTTACTGAATTATGCTAAATTAAATCTTTGTCCCTCCAAAAGCCAAATTAACTTTAACTTTGGAAATATATAACCAAAAAAGAAGTGTGTCTTCAGATTTGCTATTTCTGTTTGTATCATCACAGTTAGAGGGAAAAACCTTAAATGCTTGTGCTTATTGTATTTACTTATGCCCTCAGCTTTTTTCATAAAGGATTTGAGCTGACTTGCGATAAAAGATATATGATAAACTATGTGTAGAAAACTTGGGACAAGGAAAAAGAGTACACACAAATATGTGAAACATAAAATTCAACACAGTGGCTATCACTAAACTTGAGTTTGCTCTGAATTTCCTTGCAACCAAGGTAGGAGGAGAAATGCCATCAGTTATTTAGCTCACACACACAGAAAGATGGAAGCCTATGAAGTCCTCAAAATTATGAAGTCAGCCGTGTTTATCTACCACTACTACCGTTCAGCTGCTCCATGGCAATGCAAGACACTACCTCTCTCTAGCATTCTTAAAGGTATCACAGAATTTCCTTCATCTGCCTCGTCATCCAAATGTTCTCCCCTTGAGTAGGAACCTGAGGGAACAAAGCACTAAAGAACAAATTCCTAAATGATGGGGTTTCTAGCTGATGAAAGAGAATCTGAGGTGGGGCCTTCCCTAGTCCCTCAAATCATGGAATATTAGAAATCATAAAATGTTAGCAGTTCTCACTATCACTCACTGTCTTTTTGATGAAGAAACTGAGTCTTGGAGCATTTATCTCACTTGTTCATATTGGCATAGTTGATCTGAATACTCTACCTATGCTTCTAGGTCCTTTCTCTTCTATGCCACACTGCCAGATGATTTTTTTTTTCCCCACAAGAGAGGTTTAGGGAAGTTTTGTACTCTGCTCCGACTCATGCCTTATTTAAATATACACATCTGAATGCCATTCAACCTTGAAGACTGAAAATATGAGTCATACCACAAGAAAGTGTTTCCTGTAGTTAATACCTGGCTGAATGTATTAGTTATCTATGGCTGCATGACAAATGACAAAATGTAGCAGCTTAAAACAACAAACATATGATTATCTTACAGGGCATGGCTTAGCTGGGTCTTCTTTTTCAGGGCCTCAAAGACTAATCTTGCTGTCGGACAAGGAAAGATTCGTTGCTAAGCTCACTCACATGGTGGCTAGAATTCTTCACATGTTGTTGAACTTGGGCCATGAGTTCCTTGATGGTTGTTGGCTGCTCTCAGTTCCTTGCCCCGTGGTCCTCTATTAAAAAAAAAAAAAAAAAAAAACCCTCACTGCCGTCAAGTCAGATCCAACTCATAGTGACCCCTCCTTGGGTTTCTGAGGCAGTATCTCTACAAAAGTAGATTGCCCAGTCTTCCTTCCAATGAGGAGTGGCTGGTGGGTTCAGACCACTAGCCTTCTGGTTAGCAGTCAAATGCCATATGCACTATACCACCAGAGCTCCTGGGCTTCTCTATAGGGCAGCTCAAAACATGGCAACTTTGCTTCATCAGAGTGAGTAAGCTGAGAAGAGAGAAGACAATAAGAAGTATTTTTTAATGGAATCTCAGAAGTGATATGCCATCATTTTCTTCATATTTATTAGAAGCCAATTACTAGGTTCACTCAAGTGTATGAATACCAGGAGTCAAGGATCATTGGGAGCCATTTCAGAAGCTGCTTACCATGTTGGCTCTATAATAGGGCCCTCTGAGGTTGTAACATCATACTAAGTTACCTTCTTCCCAGCAATTTCTAAGAAAATTATTGACTTCTTAAGTTTGCCCTTTCAAGAAGAATACAGGGATTCCCCAATTTCCCTTGTGTTCTCTTAAGCAAGTAGAAGGAATAATGGCCTCCACTGCTGTACTTAATATTGTTGAACATTGATGTGACACTTTGTCTTCAAACTGCTTGTCAAAGGATTCCTCTCTCTAATTCCATTCAGTAGCTTTAGATCTGTGTACATCTATCTCTCACTAAACACACTTATGTGTCCAGAATTAGCTTACAAGGCACAAAGGCATTAAGCTAAAAGGATATTAACATAACACAAAAAACATTGTGGGTAAAAGTGATGTATAAATGGTGTCTGTAGCAAATTTCATACTGAAGGTACATTTCCTCTAAAATATAAACAGCAAAGATAATGATTGTGCCATTCAACAATTCTTGAGCACACCAGAGAGGCATTTGTGGGGCATTTGTGGTTGGCATAATGACTAGAGGAGAGGTGAGGGTGCTACCAGCACTCAGTGTCCTAAAGCCAAATGGCTCGCCTTGTGTACAACTGCTCCACCCATAATCCCAGTGTTCCCCTACCCCATTTTTCATTCTCCTGCTCTCGTCTTGTTTCTGAATCATTACTTCGTGAATTTATTACTTGTAAAGCTGGCCATATTTTTCTGTTTTCACAAGGAATTGTATAAATATCCTTTAATATAAATATAATGTATATGTTACTCCTCTTATAAAGGAACCCTGGTGGTGCAAAGGCTTGGCACTTGCTGCTAACTGAAAGGTTGGCAGTTTGAACCCACCCGTGGGAGGAAGACCTGGCAATCTATTTCCATAAAGACTACAGCCAAGAAAACCCTATGGGGCAGTTCTGCCCTGTCAACGTGAGGTTGCTATGAGTTTGAATCAACTCAGTGGCATCCAGCAACAACAAAATTCCTTCATAAACATAACTTGGAAGCTTAAGGACTAGGACACATGCTTTGGTTGTGTATATTTCCAGGAGAGATGGCATGAGTGGAGAAAGGTGCTACACAGATTTAAGACAAACATTTCATTCTTTTTCTATTGAACATGCAAAAGCATGTACACAAGTATATGTACATCCCTCGACTTATGCAACAGATGGTTGTATATACTTTACAAAAAACAAACAAACACTGCTGTTGAGTCGGATCCAACTCATAGCAACCCCATATACTTTATAGGTAGGGAAATTCCTGCCCCCAAAGGCGGGGCATCTGGTCCTCAGTCACATGGCAAGGTCTGGCCATGCACCAGTATTGTTTTACATAGTTCTCTAGGCACTGGTGGACACAGTTTCTAGGATACCATATTCTACCTTTAAATGACAATTTAATGAAATATATTTAAATTCTGGGAGAATTTTATATTTTCAAAAACAAAAATATTGAAACAGTACTTAGGGTACAAAAAGTTTACCTATGTTTATAGTCAGTTGGTAAACTACCCAGCAAATTTGAGAACTTTTTAAAGTTCTTATGTTACTCATCTCTCTTCTGGTTGGTTTTCCTAAGATTTATACAATTTAAGCTCAGATCTTAATGGCAAGAAGTTGGCAGCCGTATGAAGATCAAAGGAGAGAACATTTTAAGAAGGAGTACTAACCAGGTGAGTCCAAGGGGAGGGAGGAAGAGCAACAGAACTAAGGTGCTTTCAATGGAAGTGATTAAATAGGTCATGAATCTAACCTGGGGAAGCGGGTGATGGATAATGAAAAACTGGTACCACTGATGGATTAAAGGTCTTGATAAGATGGAAGAAATTGATGGAGTAGTAGCACCAGAGTTGCTGAACTGAATGCAGGTTGCTTGAAGTAAAGAAATGATGACAAAGCCAAGGATATAACCATGAGAGTGAGTGGTTGAGGCTAATTAAAGGAAAAAAGCATTGAAGGTGTAGGAGTCAAAAACTGAGGAGGCTAACATGATAAATGGCTCAAAAGTTATTTACAGGTAGCTCTGGTAGCATAGTGGCTAAGGCACTTGACTGCTAACCAGAAGGCTGGTGTTTCAAACCCACCAGCCACTCTTCAGAAGGAAGATGGGGCAATCTACTTCCGTAGTGATACTGCCTCAGAAACCCAAGGAGGGGTCGCTATGAGTTGGGTCTGACTCGATGACACAAAACAACAACATGCTGCTTGGAGAGATCAATCATGGGAGAATAGAAGGGCTGTGTATGCCCAGGGAGACAGATGGGGTGGGGGTGGGGGGCAGGAATGCATGGAAGGGATGGACACAGGGAAGAGGTAACTATGGGGAGGAAGAGGAAGGGGAGCTGTTGCATTGTGGGAAATTGTAATCAATGTCATGAGACAAAGTATATATAAGCTGATGTATGGGAAGTGAATTTGCTCTGTAAACTTTCACCCAAATCACAATTAAAAATAGGAAAAAAAAAAAAAGCTATTTACCATAGAATTTGAGCAAAATGGGAGTTCTGATGGGGTAGTACCTAGGGCATTTGACTGCTAACCAGAAGACTGGTGGTTCAAACCCACCAGCTACTCTTTGGAAGGAAGACTGGGCAATCTGCTTCCATTGGGACACTGCCTCAGAAAGCCAAGGAGGGGTTGCTATGAGTTGGAATCAACTTGAGGGCAGTTGAGTTTGTTGGGGTTTTTTTTTGTTGTTGTTGTTGTGTTTTGAGCAAAATTGATGAGAAAAGTTGGCCACTTCAAAACGTCTGTTACTCAAGTATTTTCCTTTAAATAGACACACTCTCAGAGCTGATTTATTATCAGAACAAAGTTTGGTTTCAGGATTAGGATGAAGCTTCTAAAGAAATAAGAATGGTTGAGTGCATTTCTGCTGAAAAAAAAAAAAAAAATCTTGACTATGGCACAAAGACAGGTTTTATGACCATATGGTTTAACCTAAATGTGTTTACAGGGCTCTCCAGAAAACATGACAGATGGCTAAGAGCTGCAGAGTGAACAAAAGCTGAGTGTGAATCAGACAAATGTCTCAGTGATAACAATGAAAAATTGTTATCCTTCCAAAGAGGACAAAAGACCAAAATCATTGGAGTCCTATATTACTGCTCTTTAAATGAAAACTAAATTTGTTTTAAAATATTAACTTTTGTAGAAAAATCTCAGTTTTTAACTATACAAGTAAATAAATAAATATATAGAAAGCTGCCTTGGGCTTATAATTCCTTTTTAAAAAAAAAAAAAAAATGACTTATCTCTTTCCAAGTTCATGCTATTTTTATTTTAAGT